CAATTCCAAGCTTGGTTGTGGTTGAAGCATCATAAAACCGTGTTGAAAGTAGCTTCCTAGAAGAGAGTCGTACAAAGTTATCCCAATGCTTTTGCTATGTGAATTCAATCATATAGGTCTCGCTAACATGTGAGGGAGGTGGTACAACCAGTCTAGAAGAGGCACTAAGGGAACCACGGGCTCTCTTAGGACGACGGAGTGGTTCCATCTATAGCACGAAAATTCAAGAGTTCAAATCAAAGGGATGTGGCTCAAAGAATATCATTGAAGAATTAGTAATAACCAATAGCCAAGAGCAAAGATGAAATGAGAAAGTTTAAGCACAACAAATATAGAGGCTCATTCAATCAAATAATAATGGAAAGAAGTTATGAAGCATTAAGCACAATTCTAAGAGCAACATTTTTCCAATCAAAGGTGAAGTGAGAAATAAAACTACTAATCATACACAAAGAAAAAGAAAATGACCAAAAATGGTAGTAGCAAAATTGCAAACAATCAAGCAAAATCATGATAATAAAGCTTCAAGCAATCATCGATAGTCATCATCCACACAAAGTAGAGGGAAATGAAACAAACAAAATAGAACCACCATTTAAGCATAAACTAAGGATTTCTAAGTAAAAGGTAGAGCAAGAGAAATCAAATAATCATAGAAATCATACCTTAAGTGATTAAAAAACCCTTAGTGAAGTGAAATAATGATGCAAAATAACAAGTATAGACTCCAAATGTAAGTTCCAAACCCTCAAACTAAAGTACCCAAAAATCCCAAATTTAGGAGAGAGAAATAAAAAATAGAACAAGAAAGAGGATTATGGAATAGTAAACTAATTGAATTAGTGATTAAGAATGATGATGTGATAAAATGAAGCAATAAAAATCATGAAATTAAGTGAAGTAAGAATAAAGGAATAGAGAAGAGAGATAAAGAGTGAAAGAAAAGAGAGGATGCACGACTTAAGGGGGCGTACAGCAGTGCTGCTCACCCGCGCAAACCTGGGTCGCGCGCGATGCAAGCAGCTTGTGGGTGCATCGGTGGGCACGAGGAACTAGCTCATCCCGGGAATGTTATACCCACTAATCATGGAAGTTTCGTAGCTACTTAACGGTGGGTTCAACATCCCTGATTCATGAGAGCGCATTATGTACCCACCAAGATTCAATTCCGACTCCAATCTTCAAACTAAGTGTACAAACTTTCCAATCTAAAAAATGGCACTAAGATTGTTGGCAATCAAACTTTCTTCAACTCGTAAGTACCTAAAATCAAGAAAAATAAGAAGGAAATCAATTAAACCAAAAACACCAAGGAAGAAAAATAAACAAAAATCAAAGAAAAATGAGAAAGAAGGTTAGAAATTCGGGTTGCCTCCCGAAAAGCGCTCGTTTAACGTTATTAGCTTCACGCTCTCCACCCTTTCAAGGTGGATGATAGAGAGACATCTTGTGAACAAGGCCGACAAAAACTCCATCGTAATAACGTTTAAGTCTATGGCCATTGACTTTGAATGAAGTTGAGGAATCCGAAGGAACAATTTCTACAACTCCATTAGAGATAACCTCTTGAACAATTAATGGTCCGCTCCAACGAGACATAAGTTTCTCGGGGAATAATTTCATCTTTGAATTATAGAGGAGAACTTTGTCACCGACGTTGAATTCTTTCTTCTCAATGAGCTTGTCATGCACCTGCTTTGATCGGGATTTGTAAATGCTAGCACAACTGTAGGCATCCAAGCGAAGCTCTTCTAACTCATGAAGGTCAAGCCACCGTTGTTCTCCCGCACTGGACGAATCGAAGTTGATCTTCTTAATAGCCAAATGATTACGATGCTCAAGCTCCACTGGAAGGTGACAAGATTTGCTATAAACTAAGCAGTAAGGAGTGGTGCCTATAGGAGTCTTAAAAGACGTTCTATAGGCCCATAAAGCATCATCAAGCTTGTCTGACCAATCTTTCCTATTCCTAGCAACCGTCTTTTCAAGAATTAATTTGATTTGACGATTAGGCACCTCAACTTGTCCACTAGTCTGAGGATGATATGGAAGACCATTCTTTTGGGTGGAGTTTTCATGCGTGAAAACCCACACATAATACCCAAGGCTGCACCCACCTTGCTGCCGCCACGTCACTCAGCCGCCGACGACCCGTCGGCCACCACCACGGTGGTTCTCTTTCTCCCTCCTCTTGTTTTAATTATTATTCCTATAATTTATACTTTAGGTTTTTGAATTTTGATTGATAAATATAATTAGTATGTTTTATAAATGTGTTTTAATGATTAAAGAGTATAAATTTCATATTATAAAGTATTTTAAATTTCAAATTTTATAAAGTATTAAAAGTTAGGGTTTTAATTATTAAAGTGGTGATTGTTAGGGTTCTAATGATCAATTAATTAGGGGCTTTTGTTCCTATTGAATTTGTATATATTAATTAAGCATAGAAACAAATTTTCCGTAATCAACTTCTGATCTCCGTTCTTAATTTTTTTTAATCACATTTAGATTCTAACTCGTCCGATTTTTACAATAAAATAGTATTTTTCGTGTGTAAACGACGTTTTAATCAAAACTCACTATCTTTAGTAGTGAGCACCACCCTCTCGTGGCCAAATTCAACCTCTAAATATGATTTTCGGACAGTTTTTTTTATTTTTAACGAAGGTTTAATGTTTTAATTTAATTTTCAGATTTATTTGAGGGGTTTAAATCTTAAAAAGTGTGCTGAAATTTTTATATAAACACCATGAATGAGTTTTTACTTTGTGGTTTTAATTACCCACTTAAAGAAAGAGTTTTAAAGGTTTTAAACCAAAATTTCAGCTTATTAGAGAGGGTTTAAAGTATTTAAAAGTTGCTGGAAATTTGTGTAATCAAGGGAGTAATTGAGTTTATATATTTGGTATTATAGGAGACTTTAAGTTGAGTAATTTCTAGCATTGTGGCTAGTTGGAAAGATGATTTAAGGTACGTCCGCGTACTTGGTAATGTTTAAGTGTATAGAAGCATGCTAGGCTTTGTTTAATTAATTCCAAGTAGTATCGGGATATGTGTTGGATGGAATTTGTTGTTAGGATTGATGTTGGTGAATGATTTGAGATGTATGAATTATTTATGGTGAACTGGTAATTGGAATTAATTATATTGGCATATTGGATATGAACCACACTTTTATTATTGGCATGTTAGAAAGCATGTTTAATTAAACTAAATGTTTAATTTGGTTTGGAATATGAAAAGGGAATTTTATTATGGTTCATATAATTTTTATTGATGCTATAAGCATGAAGAAGGAGCTATTTAAGTGTCTTTGTACACGAGGATTAAATTATGTTTTGGTGCCTATGTGCACTTAAGGTATTTCTAACACCGAGGGATAGGATTTGTGGCGCATTATGCGTTTAAGGTATTATTTAACACCGTGGTAGTTAAAAAAAGGATTCAACACTAAATTTATGTGGTCACTAAATATTCAAGAATTAAATTGGTTTGTTTGATTGCTTGAATGAATTGTAATGTTTGGTTGTGTTATGTTTGAGAGTCGTCACCAAGTTTAATAATTTGTAAATAACATAAAGTGAAAGAGATTACGCACCAAAACTCTTGGAACGTATATACCTTGAGTATGAACATATGGGGGGAGTTATGCGACTTTATATTTGACCATAACTTCTACTGGAGTACAGGACGCTGTATTTCCTTTTTTATTATGCGCAGGAATTTCGTCACTTATGAGTAGTTTATTTTATACTTTCACGGTTAGCTCCCGTGTTAGTACCCCTTTATTGGAGCAAGTTAGGGGGAAACCCATTCGATGCGTAATCAAGCTAAATAATTGGACTAGCTATTGGTCTAGTTAAGTGTTGAATGTTTGTATACTTGTAAACAGGTGCAACAAGGTAAGTTGTGTGTTGATAGGATGAAAGCATGTTAGTGTGTTTTATTACGCTTATGTACTCAGCATTGCTGATTGTGTGTTTGTATATTTGTTTGGCCTTGTCTTTACCTTGGCCCTACGACGATCCATTTCTAATGGCGAGTAGTGGGGACAAGTAGAGAGAAGCTTTCGGGTGATGAAGCATATCAAGCATGATGGGGTTGGCGAAGAGGGTTACATGTTTCTTTGTTTATTATTTATTGTATAGAATTATTTATGTAATTGTTGACACTAATATTACTTAATGTTTATATTTACTTTGGTTTTAAGGGTTGATTTTGTTGAACTTTATTTCATTTGAGTTTTTAAAATTCCGCTGTGTGTCTTTGATATTTGCCTTACCCGTTTTCACAGTGGCGGTAATCTCTTAGATTTTCCTAATTCGTATTTTAAAATGGGTAAAACAGGTACTTTAAAGAAAATGAATTTTTAGGGTGTTACACAAATATAAAGTTGCATAACTTCCCCCATATGTTCATACTCGAGGTATATACGTTCCAAAAGTTTTGGTGCACAATCTCTTTCACTTTACGTGATTTACATATTAAGACTTGATGATGACTCTCAAACCATAATACAATAAATCATAATAAATCATTCAAGCAATCAAACACACCAAATTAATTCTTGAATAATTAGTGACCACATAAATTAAATGTTGAATTCCTTTAAAATACCTCGGTGTTAAATAACACCTTAAGCGCATAAAACACCACAAATCCTATCCCTCAGTGTTTAGAACACCTTAAGTGCACTTAGGCACCAAAATATAATTTAATCATCGTGTGCATAGACACTTAAATAGCTCCTTTCTCATTTTTATACATCAATAAAAATAATATGAACTACAATAAATTTTTTTTTCAATATTCCAACCTCAATTAAACATTTAGTTTAATTAAACATGCTCTCAATCATAAACATTTAGTTTAATTAAACATGCTCTCAATCATGCTAATAATAAAAGTGTGATTTATATTCAACCTGCCAACATAATTAATTCCAATCCTTCATTTAGCAATTGTATAAAATAGCAATACTTGACAAGATGCTCTTCTCGTTTTTCCTTTATTTGACCATAATTTAAATCACCAATTTTCTCTCTCCTCTTCTTCCAAGAACTTCAACACCACCTTTCTTCTTCTAGGGTTTCCTTTCCGATTTCCGATCATCAACTTCATATGTTTCTTCCCAGAATTTGGGGGTTTCAGCTGATTGAATTCAATTAGAGCTGCAATTAATCAATTATTTAAATTAATCAATAATTTATATCTGATTTATAGCTATGGATTCGAATAATTGGCGACCTGCTCAAAATGAAGCTCCACCTCCAATGGATGGTGGCGATTGGCGGAGTCAACTTCTGCCGGAGTCCCGCCAACGAATTGTCAATAAGATGTGAGTTATTTTGCTATCAAACTTTATATTATACTTCGTATATATGATATAAATTATTTTTGATGAATTCTTTCTGTGTGTTTGAGAATTGGGGTTTATATACAGAATTGTTGATGTAACTGTGTTAGGTTATTAAATGAGATTGATGTTATGGCTAGTGAATTCTGTGTTTTTATTGTTTCTTTGCTGAGTGATGGAGGCTTTCAATGCTATTGGTAGTCATGTTATTAATTTGGCAAATTCAATTTTTTTATTTAATAAAAAAAAAAAATAATATGAAACGTTTATATATCAGTAAATGATTGAAAAATTGTTGTATTTATTTTGATCTCTTGCTCTGCCCATGTTATTTTTATTATGTCACAAGTATGCTCCCCTATAAATGGGTTAGGGGTGTGATTGAGTTGTTAGGAAAAAAGAAAGCTTAGTTTTTGTTTTTGGGAATTGAGAGTGGAAAGTGTTTTGAGGCGAGTTGAAATATATTGAAGGGTGTTTTTCCAGATATTCATGAATAATTATGGTATATGTTATGACACTAGACACGCCAGGGAGGTGTCAAGTTGGGTGTATAGGAAGTGAAGTTTCGATTGTGGAGAAAAGAAAAGAAATCCCCTAATTCTGTAATTGAGGTACTTCGAGACAGCTATGAAGCTTGAAAGCATAGGGCTTTTATTCACTGGCATGATGCACGTTCACCATTATATTTTCCGGCATGAATGGATGTTCACCGCCGGCTCAACGGCTAGAGTTGCATGTAGCTAGGGAGGGGGGGGGGTAGAGGGAGGAAGTGGTTTTTATTTTTTAGTGAGATTACTTTTTGGCTCATAAATTATAAAGCCATTTACTCACGTGACTTCCCAAGTTGCCTTGCCACTGACTCACCTTTCTATCTTTTATGATTTTCTAGATGTAGCTCGAATCAAGGCTTTGTTCACCTCCTGAATAAAAAAGCAACAAAATATGTAGTATCTGCAATATATTTGTGGTGAAATTTAGACTAGTAATATATTTTTGTATATGAAACATGTGGTGTAGTAATCATAATTTGTTGCATGTTCTTTTTGATTTGATTGAAGATGATCAAGTGAAGTTCATGACTTCCAAATTGATTAATGTATGAGCATACTTATCCATAAAAATGAATATATATATATAAGAGCATCTTTGATTTCTCAATAGCCTGCTCTTAATAGTTAATAAAGTCATCTACAGCCCTTAAACATTTTCAAGGCAATTAGATTGCATTTAGCTCACTATATTAGGTACCTGTTCTTCTCATTAGAAATCCGATTCATTAAAGTGATTGCTCTGTAACTTTGAATATTTTGACATTCCATAATGGCTTTAGGGTTAAATGTATAGTTGGTTTTGGATAGGCAAAATGTATGTATACGAGTACAAACGGAGGTTGGATGGGAACTTGAAGCTACCAGTGATGATGGATTAAACTTTACCAGCTTTGTGTTAAAGTTAGTGTTTATCGGGTGAAATTTGGTTAGTACTGTTACATTGGACGAGATGGGTACACTGTTGCTCGATTGATTCAACCAAGAAATTTTCTCTGTAGCAAAATTGGGGCCCGCATTTTGGAAAATGGTTTAAATAGCAGCTGCCAGGTCTAGATATTTTATGGGTGATTTCTTTTGATAGTGGGTAATGTAAAAAAACTGGAATTTTTAGGTCAAAATCATGGAATTTTTCACATAATAGCCAAGTCAGACGCTTGGACACGTACCCGCGTCGGACTTCCGAGTCCATGTAGCATAAAATACAGTTATATCACTAAAATATTAGCAGTTGTTTATGAAATAACTAAGGCTAGTGCCAATAGTTGACCAGTATAAAAAGAAAGAAATTGAAGCTGACGGATCATGGTAATACAAGAACGTATGCAGAACTACTATTGGTTAGTACCAATACTCCAGATTCTTGTGATTTTTGCACAGGGTCACTACCTTTATTGTCCTAGCTGAACCATGATTATTGGTTTTTATACCTTGTAACATATTATTGCGGACGAATGAATCAACAGCTAAAAGCCCATTGTAGGAACAATATCCCCATTTATTTTTATAGGTGGATATAATTTTGAATCACTTTGCTGTAGCCACCAGGTTCACCAATGTAGGCCATCAAATCACTCTTGCTTCCTAAAAATTTTAGAGCCCTTTTGAGGAATGCTGTAATTAATTTAGGTGAATGTAATTCTTTTCGTTAAGTAATTCCGTAGAAATGAAATGTGGTTAAACATGGTTTACAATAGTAGATACTTGTACATGGTGAATGCTAGATTCTTGACGTTGTAGTAGCAAACTAGCAACTACCTCTGATTCTGAGTTATTCTACTGCTAAAGTTGCTTCTGTAAATTACTTCATTGTCAGCGTGATCTTTATTGAAGTTTTAGCTTTATTTACTAATATTTGATTGCCCATGAGGGGAAACAGTCAAATGTGGTATATGTTATAACCATATGGTATAGTAGCGTACTTTGATTCGAGAGTTGGAAGGGGCTACTTCTTGTAGGTTTATGTATTATAATCAACTAAGAATTGGTTGTGATACTATTAAATTGATATCCTTTGCAATTGTAGAATGGAAACTTTGAAGAGACATCTCCCCTTTTCTGGCCAAGAAGGGCTGCAAGAACTTAAGCAGATTGCCATAAGATTTGAAGAAAAGATATATAGTGCTGCTACGAGCCAGGTATCTTATGCATCTCAAGTGGTTGCTTATATCTTAATCTTGATAGTTAATTTTTTGCGTTTGGTAATCACATTTTAGACATTGTTGACAATCCTTGGGTATCACTTCTTATTTCTTCTTGTACTGCAATTTCAGTCTGATTATCTGAGGAAGATATCATTGAAGATGCTCACAATGGAGTCAAAATCTCAGAATTCACTCCCCAATGCTTTGCCTTCCAACTCTTCTGGTATGAGCAGAAATCCTCAGGATTCAGGTATTCATATTTTGAAGAATTATTCTTTTTTGTATAGATTGTGTTAAGTCAAAACATTGTTAATTGATGCCTATATTAGCAAGCTTATCATTGATCCCCCCTGCACCCCCCCTCTCTTCTTTTTTTTTTTTTCTTCTCCTGGTTTTTGCTTAGTTTCTCCAAGGTAGGTTTTTAATGTATTTTTTTTTTGAATTTTTTGCTTAGTAGGATAATAAAGATCAGAACTTGTTGCTTTTCGATTGATGGAAAAGGATATACTGACAGTCAATAATTTCAATAGTTGCATCTGTGGATATGAAGTAAATCTTGTATTCTCTTAACTTGTTTTTGGCTTGTCTTCTGCTTTTCAAATTAGACCAAAGGCCTTTCATGTCTCGTTGAATAATGATAACTGAACAACTTAGTATATTGCCCTCCCACACTAAGCATATTCCGGTATTCCCCCACCCCTCTGAAAAAAAAATAAAAAAAAATCTGAAGGCTCAAGCATCTGTTGAAATAATTATAAAAGCCATGATTACTTTGTTTAGGAGAGCAAGGTTATGCGTCTATGGCCAAAACTTACATGCATATTATAGAATAGACTCATAGTCTTGTTCTCCTAAACTTTTCTACCCTGTTTCCCATGTATATAAGTCCTCTTTCTCTTGTTTGTTTCAGTGAAACCTGGTCATTAGCCACTTCACGAATTTGAGAATTATTCTATGCAGTTACTCAGTAGTCAGTATATCCTACTTTGGCTGACATAGGGGCTCCATACTTTCTGTAATTCAATTATATTCAATGAGCTAATTCTTTCATAATCTTGTATTGTCTGCTTGTTTTTGTGGTCTGCAGAGTGGTTTGGTAATACCTTGGTTTATCATATCATATATGCAACTGTAATAAGACTACCAGCTGATAATGTTCAATGTATTCTTGATGCTACCAAAGTTCTTTTTGTGAGGTCATGTCAGTGTTTAGACTGTTTTAGGTGATTCTAGTGGATATTTGTAGTTTGTACGCTGCTAAAATGATATCTTAACATTTTTTTAGTGTTTGTTTGTACTAAATTCTACTATTTACAAAAAGAATTGAAAAAATCTAGAGTGAATAAATGAATAATGGCTGCATATACCATGATTCTTACTGCTATTAGTTTAGGAATCTGTTATCCTCTACTGTGGCTGTTGCTGTCTTCTCTTGGATTTGTCATTCAAACTCACTAAAGCTTCTGAAATTAGTGACAAATGTGTTTATAACTTACCCCACTCACTTGTCCACTTCGGTTTTTTTTTTTTCCTCAGTACCTTCTCAAAATATGCAGTCCCAAGTGCAGAATCAGAGTCAATCTGTTCCCCATCAGATGGCGTCTAATCAGTCTCAAGCCCGGCAGCAGATTTTAGCTCAGAACATGCAAAACAACATAGGATCTACAGGCATGCAAACTACTGCCAGCTTGCCAAATTCTTTGCCATCTGTCAATGGATTGGCACAGAACATGCCAAATGTTCCTCAGAATACCAACATGCAGAGTATTTCTGGCATCCCACAAAACTCAATGGGAAATACGATGAATCAGGCAGTTTCATCCACTATGTTCACAAATTCCCAAAGGCAGTTGCAAGGTAGACAACATACCCAACAGGTTGCTTCCCAGCAGCAGCAGCAGCAGCAGCAGTCCCAAAATAATTCGCAATACATGTACCAGCAACAATTGCAGCAACAGATGATGAAGCAGAAGTTACAGCCGGGAAATATCCAACAACCAATTATGCAGACACCATTACAGCAACAACCACCACCATCACAGCAACAACAAACACCATCACAGTCTCAGCAAAACTTGCTACAGGCTAATCAGCAACCGATCATGCAAACCTCATCTGTTATGCAGCCTTCTATGATATCTGGGTTACAGCAAAACCAACAATCTTCTATTCAACAGCCATCTCAGTCTGTGCTTCAGCAGCATCAACAGTCAGTGGCCAGGCAGCAACAACAGTCGCAGCAACAACAGTCGCAGCAACAGCCACAACAGACTCCTATAATTCAGCAACAGCAAACGCAGTTATCCCAGCAATCAATGATGACATCCCAGGGCCAACAGCAGCAGCAGTTAATGGGACAGCAACCAAACGCTGCCAATATGCAACAAAATCAACTGATTGGCCAACAGAGTAATATCTCTGATATGCAGCAGCAACAGCAACAGAGACTGTTGGGACAGCAGAATAATCTCCAAAATCTTTCATCACATCAGAACATGCAGCAGCAACATATGATGAGTCAACAAAGCAATCTCTCAAACATGCATCAGCAACAATTAGGGCATCAAAGTCATGCTGGGGGACTTTCACAGCAGCAACTGATGGGAACACAGTCGGGGAATGCTAACATGCAGTCAAATCAACACTCAGCTCACATGATGCAACAACCCAAGGCTGCGACTCCGCAACAGAATCAAAATACTCCTTTATTGCCAAGTGGTGGGCAGCCAGCACAGCCACAATCACAGTCACAGCAGCAATTGATGTCACAGCTCCAATCTCAGTCAGGTCTACAACAGCAACTGGGATTGCAGCAGCAGGCAAATTCCGTTCAACATAATATGCAGCCTCGGATGCAAAATCCAAATTCTTTGCTTCAGCAGCAAAATATGATTGATCAGCAAAAGCAGTTCCAACCACAAAGAGCTCCTCCCGAGGCACCATCAAGTATTTTTTCTTCTTACCTTAATTTTCTTCTGTGATGGTTTGGGTAGATTTTGATCATAATTTTTTCCCCTATATGCTATCTTCTTGCTTTTATGCATGAACTACTATGCATTGAGAAATTTATGCCTTCTATTTTCTCTTCTACAGCTTGTGCAATATTCTTCTGCATTTAATTTGTGTTCTACATTGAGTACTTTGAAGGATAGTATCTAGTACAATACTTTTTTCTCACCAAATAATCTTAGTGTTTCCTCTTGTTTAACATGGTGCCTACTCTGCCTAGAGCTTGCAGGGTCTATTACACATTTAGACAGTTTAATTTCATGTTGTATTGGTTGCTGTCTCTGAATGTTCTCACTGATATTAGGTAGGTTAGTAAGTATTTTAATGGTCCTTACTGATTTTTCCATGCTTTGGATGTTTGCTTTAGGAGAAAACATTAATGCTTCATATCTTTTATAGTTCTTGTCATCTGATGCTATATTTCTGTTTTTGGGGTTGAATTATTTTCACTTATCTATCATCCTATCCAACTTATTTAGATTCTGTAGTCCTTGTGTATTAGCTAACACTAATGCCTTTTGAATAGGTTCTTTGGATTCCACTGCTCAGACTGATAGTACAGGTGTTGGTGACTGGCAAGAAGAGGTCTATCAAAAGGTGACTATTTGCCTACCCCTGCTGATCTCCTGCTATAATTTGGTTTTCAAATCTATATATTGCGTGCTTTACTCCTTATATTCTGAAATAAGTTCATCTTCCTGTTTACACTGATTTTAAGAATGTCATGTGACTTGATGTGAGTGAAAACTTTTCCCTTCACATAGCCTTTGCAAAAGTCATGTATTACTCCAGTGTCCAATTAGTGAAAGGTGTGTACGTTTGTGTGTTATGATTGGAGGTACAGAGAGGGGGGGGGGGCGGCGGGGAGGAGGGCAATGGTTGATGTTAGACCCAAAACATCAGGGACACTTATAAAAATTCTACATAAGCAAGGAAAATTCATTAAGCACATTGAACAAAAACAAATCTCAGAACTAAAATCAAGTTGCATGCCATGTTAGAAAAATCAGGAACCAATTAAAGTTGAAGGAAATAAAAAAACATTGGAAATTACAAACTCTTGTACACTATATTATGCTAGAAAACCATAATAGAGCTGGGAAAAAAGGTACATCACCTAAGTTTGCGTCAACAGAATCAGAGAAGAGTGATGCGTTGCTTTTCTGCCTCTCTCTTTCTATCTTGTGCAGCAAATTGGGTTTTGAACCTTGAGATCAGAACTGGTAGGAATTAGGTAGAAATGAAGTTTGGGCGTGGGGGGGGGGGGGGGGGGCGGGGGGCGGGGTTAGTGCTTGATGCCCTACAGTATCAGATTCCAATGCCGAATATTCCCTCCAAACAATATAAAGGAATGAAAACCATCAAAATACCCAACCGCAAGCACCCTAAAAAATAGAAGACATCCCAAAAAATAATTATGGAACTTTATATTGGGATGGAGGCGATACTTAAAACTTGGAAGTCTATAAAATGTTGGGGGGGGGGGGGTTAGTGCTTGATGCCCTACAGTATCAGATTCCAATGCCAAATATTCCCTCCAAACAATATAAAGGAATGAAAGCCATCAAAATACCCAACCGCAAGCACCCTAAAAAATAGAAGGCATCCCAAAAAATAATTATGGAACTTCATATTGGGATGGAGGCGATACTTAAAACTTGGAAGTCTATAAAATGTGGGGTTGGAGTTACCTTGTTAATTCACTATAAGAGATTTTCACTCAGTGGTTTTGTAATATTTTTCTGGTTGACAATACCTTCTTTAAAAAAAAAAAAAAAAGGGTTGTCTCAATGAGTTCTATATGCTTTATGTTTTTTGAAGATGCAAAAAGCCGAAAACATAATTTGCGATAATATGGTGAAAGTGTTTCTTCTTGGTATATGCTTTTACTTTTTTCTTGCTTTGTTTGTTCTGTGGCTGATCCTTTTGACTAGTTACTAAAATAAGGTGCTGATTATCATCTTCTTGGGTGATGATTGACAGATTAAAGCTATGAAGGACATGTACCTTGCAGATCTTAATGAGATGCACCAAAAAATTTCTATGAAACTACAACAGGTATCTGACCTTCTAATTATGAAATCTAATTGAGCTTTATTTTTTTTTATTATATATTTTTATCTTTGCTAATCTTATTGCCTTGTGTGTCCTATTACCATGTAAAACCTGATCAAAATATGATATGTGCACAAGATTTAACTAGTCCATTTCCATCTTGTTAAGGATCAATATACTCTTGGCTTTTTTCTGCTTAACGTATTATTATTTTTTTCAAAATTAAGTTGTAGTAGGCACTTTAAGGAATATTCACCTTTTTTTGCAGAAGAATTGTCTATCGCTGTTGTTACTTTTTGCTAATTTGATTCCAATCATTTCACTTGTAACAGCATGAATCTCTCCCTCAACAACCAAAGACGGACCAGGCGGATAAGCTCAGAATATTTAAAAATATGTTGGAGAAGTTAATGCAGGTTTTACAAACAGCAAAAAACAGTATTCTACCAACTCATAGAGAGAAATTGCCATCATTTGAGAAGCAGATTGTTGGGTTACTTAGTACAAACAGGCCTAGGAGGCCAATTCAACCAGGGCAAATCCTCCCTCCTCAAATGCAGAATTTGCAACAAGCACAGCAGCCTCATTCTCAAATTTCTCAAGCACAATCACATGTGGTCGGTGTCAATCCACAGTTGCAGTCTATGAATCTACAAGGTTCTGCTGCCACAATACAACAGAACAATGTGCCAAGCTTGCAGCATGGTTCTGTCCCATCTTTATCTGGTGTCACATCCTCGCAGCAGAGCATGGCGAGTTCATTACAGGCCAATCCCAATATAAATTCTGGACAGGGAAGTGCACCTAGTTCTATGCAGCAAGTTGCAATAGCGTCTTTACAGCAGAATCCGGTTAGTGCTCCTCCGCAGGCAAATGTTAATTCGTTGCAATCACAGAATGGAGTCAGTATGTTACAGCCGAACATTAACTCTCATCAATCAAATTCAAATATGCTCCAAAACCAGCAACTGAAGCAGCATCAGGAGCAGCAGATTCTGCAAAGCCAGCAATTGAAACAGCATCTCCAGAATAGGCATTTTCAACAGCAGCTGATACAAAAGCAGCAGCTGTACCAACAGCAACAGCAGTTACAACAAGCAAAACAACAACAACAACAAGCTTCACAAATTTCAGCTCATCAGATGCCTCAACTGCATCAAAATGATGTAAATGACAAGATGAGACAGGGGTTAAGATCAGGTGCTTTCCCACAGCATCTCTCATCAGCTCAGCGGTTTGCACATCAGCAGTTAAAGCCTGGGGCTACTTTCTCTGTTACTTCACCTCAATTGTTTCAGGCCGTGTCGCCACAAATCAACCAGAATTCCCCGCAAATTGATCAGCAAAATCTGCAATCTATCTCCAAAGGTGGAACCCCTTTGCAATCAGCTAACTCACCCTATGTTCCTTCTCCGTCAACCCCCTTGGCGCCATCTCCTATGCCTGGTGATGCTGAGAAACCTGCTGTTTCCTCACTCTCAAATGCTGCAAATATCGGAAATCAACAAAGTGGTGCACCTGCTGCTACTCAATCTCTTTCAATTGGAACTCCTGGGATATCGCCATCTCCTTTGTTCGAGTGTGCTGGGCCAGATGGTGCTCATGGTAATAACTCTGCAGTTGTTTCTGGGAAATCCAGTTTAACAGAGCAACCACTTGATCGCTTGTTGAAAGCTGTAAGTAGAATGGCTTATATGTTTCTCACAAATAAGGAGATACTTCTGTTTTTATTACTTGCAATAGACCTTGGCACACTATTTGAGAAAATGATTCGAAAAGGTAAATGGACAAATTAATTAATTTAAACCTTAACAACTTTAAATTTCTTTTTATTGGTGGTAAACTTATTTTAATTAATTTGTCCAATTACCTAGTCTAATGTCGTCATTAAGTGTGTGCCAAAGTGTTGTTTTGCAAGTAAAAAAAAAAAAGCAGAGGAAGTATGTCTTGGTTTATGGAGAAAAAAAGATTTTCACGGATAATTTATTTTTTGTTTATAATTTTTTTAACAGGTAAAGTCAATATCCCCTAAAGCATTAAATGCATCAGTCTGTGACATTGGTTCAGTTGTCAGCATGATTGATCTAATTGCTGGATCAGCTCCTGGTAATGGTTCTAGAGCTACAGTTGGTGAGGACTTAGTGGCCATGACAAAGTGTCGCTTGCAAGCTAGAAATTTTCAAACCCAAGATGGAAGTACGGGAACAAAAAGAATGCGCCGGTATACTAGTGCAATGCCCTTAAATGTTGCAGCAACTATTGGCAGCATGAATGATAACTTCAAGCAATTCACTGGATCTGAGACATCTGATCTAGAATCAACTGCAACATCTAATGTGAAGAAGGCTAAACTTGAGGTAATGTGTGTGTTGTATTGCCGATTATAGTGTGGTTTTTGTTTGTTCTATGCCAAAATGGTTATTGGATGGGAATATTTTTTCACACTTTCTTTATCACTAGGTTAAATCCTGCGCCATGCACGGTGATCTATAATTATATAAAGTTATAGATTATTGATTGATAAGTATTATAATCATAAATTAGTTGATGAATAATAAAAGTATGTGATAGGTTGATTTGGTATTTGCATTTTTTAATTGTAGCTTCTAATACACAATTAAAACAAAAGTAGGCAAAAAATCTAAGCAATCTTTTTTCTTGTTGTAGTTGCCCAATTTTGAGAATATAATCTTTGGTTTATAGTTGCCCATTTTTTTTTCAAAAGATTTGTGGATTTTTTTATTTTTTATTTTTTATTTTTTTTTTAAATTTTAAATATAATAATTACTACATTAATATGGTATCTTTTAGTGTATATATATATATAAAAAAAAATAAAAAAATAATAAAATAAATTAATATATATATATATATATATATATTATTTTATTGATTGATTATTGATACAGAGTAGTATAGTTTAATAATACTTCCCTAATATATGTTCATTTTTTTAACAAAAAAAATACCTAATATAAAATACTACGTATAAAAATATATTAGTTGAGTGTATATGGAAAAGTATTATTGTTAAGAATCGTAATTGGAAAAAAGATATTTTAATTTGAATTATTATAATAAAATAAAATCCTTGAAGAATCTACGAAAAAAGGAAAGTAAAATGGGCGGGAAAATTTGTAACCAGGAAATGACACGTGTCATTCCTGGTTTGCTTTTAGTATATAGTTATTGATTCTTCCGCTATCCTTATTTACTTGTCATTTGCTGTGAAAGCCAATTTTTTAAGTAAACATCATTTATTATCTTGCTTTCCCGTATTCTTTTGCGTTTCAACAAAGCACAGTGTCCCACCAGAAATAAATTAAATGTTTAATTATATCAGTATAAATAAATGACCAGTATTTTGGGACATTCTATAAAAGGAAATATGACGTTCTTCCGAGGATGAGGGAAGTATTAAACATTGGGACATATTTTGTTGGAAAGATGATGTAGGCTTTCAGAGTTTCAGGATCCGGAGTGGGGTAGATTCCTAGTTGAACAAATATGTTTATATTGAGACTACAATGTTTCAAGAATGTACACTATGTGGGTAAATGATATATTGAATTACCAAGTCCTCCCAACTGTGCATTCTTTTTGTCTTAATGAACTGATCATGTGTGATGCACTTATGCGGTTATGCCCACTATTCATCTGTCTCTTTGGATATAAATGATTGGTAAATTATTCTTATGTCAGTTGTGACTTGTGATATGAGTTATTAGGATTACTTTAACAGTTTAACCTGCAAAGTGCAAATTGAGACTACTGGAAGATTTTTTATATGGATATTTGTTTAGGCCTCTCCATTTAAGAGCTCGAGTGCTATTTCAATTTGTTATAGTTAAGATTTATGATTTGTTTTGCAGGTTAATCATGCCCTTTTGGAAGAAATCAGAGATATTAATGACCGTCTTATAGATACTATTGTTGATGTCAGTGATGAAGATATGGATCCTTCGGTAGCAGCTTCAGCTTCAGCTTCTGAAGGCAGTGAAGGAACCATTGTCAGGTGCTCTTTTAGTGCTATATCTCTGAGTCCAGACTTGAAGTCGCACTACACTTCAGCCCAGATGGTAAGTTCTTGTAACTCATTTTTAACAATAATATACCATTATGGCATTTTATCATTATCTTTTCGTGACTTTATATGCTCTTTTTTATATTTTTTATTTATTTTTTATGCAGTCACCAATTCAACTGTTGAGATTGCTGGTTCCTGTAAATTATCCAAATTGTTCCCCCATTTTGTTGGACAAGTTACCAGTTGATGTTAGGTGAGCTTTAACAGATCTGAAATTTCTTGTATTCTGGTGTCTTTTCACCACTTACCATATAGGCTGATGAGTATCTCTTCTTTTGGACTAATTAAGGTGGCAAATATACAATAGGTTCACCAAACGTATTCATCTTGGCCGGTTGTGTTGTATTTGATTTTTAACAATATATTCACCATTAACAATTGCATAAAGCACATAAAGACGGTAACTAATAACTCCTTTAAATGACAATAATAGTTCCTGTATGGTGCACAAGCTACTTAGTTGTGGTCTAATTATCTGAAGTACAATTCGTGAATAGATTATGCATTTTGGGTATGTTTACCTCTTTTCAATAGTCATTATGGTAAAAAAATCAGTCAAATTATAACGTTATCCAGTAATTTGAGATTAAAATGTTCCATTGTCGTTTTGTAGTAACGAGTATGAAGATCTTTCAGTGAAAGCGAAGTCAAGATTTAGCATCTCTCTTCGAAGTCTTTCTCAGCCGATGTCTCTCAAGGCGATAGCAAGGACATGGGATGATTGTGCTCGGGCTGTCATTTGTGAGTATGCACAACAGAATGGTGGAGGGACCTTCAGCTCAAAGTATGGAACTTGGGAAAATTGTCTAAGCGCTGCTTGATCTTCTATACCTTCAAAGTTCAAGCCTGGGTTAAAATTTTCCGGAGCCCTAGACTTGAAAATCATTTTGTTGCCGGAGACGTAGGCCAAAGCTTGAAGTTTGTGAATAGAATGTGCAAGCCAAACAAGTCCGTTGAGGGTAGTCTATAACTGTTCATATATTGTATTTATTTGTCTATTGTTACACTACCCAAAGTCCAAGATCCGACTGCTGGAAGATCTGAGTTTGAGTCTCATTACTCCAGGGTTGGAATTTTCTCCCATTCTCCTTTGATAGCGGCCTCCAAACTCAGTAAATTTGTATAAAAAGAAAAGTTTGCCTGGGGCTACTTGAATCGAATAATGGTAGTGAATAATTGTAGCATTCGCTTCATGGTATCCTGGTGCCTTTTAACTATATATGTTTGAGGGTTGAGGTAACCATTTATAATTACAATTTAGTCTGAATGTAATGAATAACTTGGCACTCGTGAAGGAATCAAGGAGTTTACCGATGCTCGTCTTACACCCCCACCAAAACCTAGTACAAGCCAACTTGCCCAAGGGAGATCTTGCCAGCCAACTTGCAGCTCTACTGGATTCTCATCCCTAAAATCACATCTTGATTTTTCTATTGTTGATGCTAAGTCAACTCAACTACAATCCATTACCCTTGATGAATGACGAACTAAATATATCATCTCAGCTAGACCTAGAAATCAAAATTTTAAGTTCAGCTCGACCCACAAGGAGGGTCGAACCTTATTTGGGAAAGGAACTAGTGGTAATTTGGGGGTCGAATTTCCTTACCTTCGGTCATTCCCCTTCGTTCTCCCAAATTAGTCTAGCCTGTTAATCTGAGCCGGTTTGACCCGTTAGGTATTTTGGCTTCGTAGAGAGCTTCATCTTACCTACCATAAAAAAAATAAAATAAAATAAAATAAATAAATAAATAAAATGACTAACTAATACCTTAACTATCATTTGCAAGGTCTTGAAGATTTAATCTCATAAATTCACCTAAAGATATTGATATTGTAAAATTTACACATTAATGATAAACACGACTCCAAACGTTGCGATAAAAAAGGAACGGATTGGAAATATTCGCCTATGCAGTGAATGGACCATTTCACAACAATACAACAATGCTTGACTGCTTGTTAATGCAACTTAAAAAAAAAATCAGTTTCAAGAGTACAGTGGATATGGCAGCTGCTGGAAGTATTGGCTTATTATGTAATCCTCCTATGCTTAGAAGTTCACCATGTTTATCTCAATTCAAAGCTTCATCATCATCATCTTCATGCAATTCTCTCTCTCCTCAACTTCTCAAAACCATTTCTGACATTCATAGTTCTGGTATCATTGCTTGCCTTCGTGCTCCTAGGTATTTCTTTCTCTTTCTTTAATCTTCACATGTTTTTTTTTTTTTTTTTTTCCCAGGGATTTCTTAAGGATATTGTGTTTAATTCTGAAGATTTAGTTCTTCGGATATTGTTATTTGCTTGGGAAACTCTAGGAATTCTTATCCTGAAATTGAATATGGTGGTTACTGTTTTCATGTACTCCCTCCGTTTTTTTTTTTTTTTTTTTATAAGCTAGAGTTGGGATTTTGTACTATGACTTAATTTTGTTACCAATATATAATATATAAATATAATCATATAAGATTTGTCATAATGTCTACTTTTATAAATTAAATTTTTCGTAATTTTCTCTAACCTCTAATTAAAGATATCGATGGTCAAAGTTATATCTCGATAAATGTGCAAATCAAACTCTAGACTATAAAAAAAACAGAGGGAGTAGTTAGTTACCTATCTTAGATTACTCGCATCATTTTGACTTTTTGTACTATGTACGTACCTACCTTGATTTTTTTTTTTTTTTTGGCTAAAGTATAATATTCTTCTGTTTATATTAGATGACACATTTCATTTAGGCACGTTTGCCAATACATACTTTCTAATGCAAATATCCTTGATTATATATCAGCAATAATTATAAAAAATTTGATATTTGAAAAATAGATGTTGGAGACGACCCACATGACTATGTTTTTTCTCAACACGATATCACAAAATGAAGTCAAAGTTAGTTATGTGAATAGTACACAAAGTTAAACTATGACATCTAATATGAATTAGAAGAAGTATATGAAAAGAAATATTCATATAATTAAACATATCGATGGTCAAAGTTATGCATTAAAGTCAAAGTGATGCAAATTTATATAGTCAAAACACACAATGCTCATTCAGTCATTTCGAGGGTATGTTTTTCAATTTTATAATGAACTTGCCACTTGATAAACATTTTAATGCCCTGATAAACATTTCAATAACCCCCTTAAGGAACTTTAGTGATACAAATTGACCTATTCTTTCTAATACTTGTTTAAATAAACAAAACTAACTTTAATACCCTCTTTATTTGCAGTTTTGTTTATAAAGAACAACAAGCTAAGCAAAATTATTGATTTGTTGCTTTAATTTTTGTGTTTCCATGTTTCATTATTGTATGAATTTGCGTTTCTGTTTTTCCCTATGTTTCCAGTTTTTGTTTAGTACTCTTATGCAGCATTAGTACTGAACCAATCAGCTTATATGAGTTATATCTCTTGAATCATTTTTTTCCCTTACGGATTCCTTAATCCTTATACCACCTAGTGTAAGTCCCTAGACCAAGTAGAAGTTCTGTACGAGTAGTACTTAATAAAATGAAGTCATGGCTACTTGGATGGAACATTGCGTTATTGAAATGTTATAATTAACTTGCAATCTTGCATGGATAATGGTAAAACCTCGAATTGTGTTAATGTTATTATGTATAGTCAATATTCATGTACACAGCTGAATATAACTATATTCTTGTCTATCAATTGGTAAACAAGGTGATCAAGTATCTTGGCATAGTTAATAGCTTGGGGAGTTTAAGTCTTAAAGCTTTCTGATGTGTGCATATATAATTTTTGTTTCCTTCATTCATGTTCATTAAAACAATCAAAATTTGAGATCCTGTGATGACAACTGATGAGTCAAGAGATTGGATAACCAGTGTTGTTTTTCATTGTCTTTCTGTAGCTTTACTAGAGTTAAGAAGTTCATTATATAAGATTCAGTCTTCAATTATGAATATTTTAAATATATCAGTGCAGAGCTAGCGCTTGGAGCTGCACGAGCTGCACTACGTGGTGGCATCAAAGTAGTAAGTGATTTTGATTCCAAAGCTTAAATATTGTGTCAAGTGGGTTCTTTTACCATCACACATAGTATATTATTCTATTAATTGCAACTAACTCTAGTTATTGGATTCATGACCTTCATATTGAATACCTTGATTTTTGTCCTTAGTGTTCATATGTCTGAGCTTCCATCGAATCTCTTAAACCCTGGAAGAAACACAAAATATGAAAAGATTTCCATTCTGATCTCTAAGATAATGCATTCAGCATTTCCATCTGTTTGTCACTTGCATCAATTGCATTCTTAATATTTGCTAAGAGTTACCTGCCTACAAATGTGTCCCTTATGGAGCAACAAAAGTTGATTTCCGATTTTCCTATATAAATCTAGATGTCTCTGAACAGTTTGACAGCTACATACTGTATTTTTTTCCCTGCTAATGCTTACTGGAAGTGAGTGAATTTAGCCTGATATATAGGCATTTCTAAATGCTTCTAAATCACATCTCCCCTTGCTTGAACTGCACCCTGTAATTTTTATAAGTAATTTCGTGATTATTCTGACACATTTGCTTTACATCCTAATGTGTAGTTGGAGGTTGTGATGACCACTCCAGGTGTGTTTGAGGTTGTTCGGTTAAAGTTCTTTTTTTTTTTTTTCTCTCTAATTCTGCTTGCAAATTGACTTCATTCTCATTGCTCCTGCCTCTTTGTTGTAGGTTTTGCAACAGCTTGTGCTGGAGTATCCAACAATGACTTTAGGAGTAAGATCATGTCCTCAAGAACTTATTCCTCTATTTTTTTTTTCCAATCTCCATATCTCATTATTTTAGGGTGTTTATGTATGTTGCAGTAGATATATTCTTAGAAATTGACTGAAGTTGGTTCCTTTATGTAAGCATTAGAGATTAGAGGTTGGTTCAATCGAGGAATAGTAGTTGTGCTAGGTTTGTTTACAATTCCATTTAATTGTCAATATTTTCTGCACTCTCTATGGATTGTGTTCCTGACTTGCTTGGCTCTTAGAGATGTCTTAATAAATTTCAATATTGTTTGTCTGATGCATAGATTTCTGACAGTTATGTTGTTTATTATTGAACTTAATCTAATATTTTAGGTAGGAACTGTTCTAAACACCGAAGATGCTAAAGTTGCAAAGAAGGTTGGTGCTAAGTTTCTTATGAGTCCTGCAATGATCAAGGTACTTGAAAGCTTTAGTAGTCTCCATAACCACTTTCTTTTGTAGACTCAAGGAGATAAATATCATTAAGTCACACATATTTAATAGATTATAACGTTCTGAATATTATTTTGTTTGTCAATATATTTGGTTTTCTGTCAAGGGTAGACTCATAGGCCACAATACAATATTCGTCCAATCATGATTATAGAAGTATGATTATGTTTAAAAGGATAATTCATGTAGTACTTATCCGAGGTTTTATCAGCTGACCCTCCTATCTACAGGATATACTTGCTGACATCCAAGATCATGAAGTTTTATACATACCCGGTGTCATGACTCCAACAGAAGTATGATTATATCCTGTCTCCATTTCTTCCTAACAGTTAATAATTGTTCCTGATTCTGATCATTTACACTTAAAACCTAATTTTACTTTTGTCCATTTGCAGATACTGTCTGCTTATAATGCCGGTGCAAGGATTGTCAAGGTAGGGTTTATCATGTTTCTTGTTCTGAATATATCTATTTGGCATCTCTGGCATTCTCTTTGTATTCATTTGTATGAAATAATAGTATGGGGTAGGAGAATTACATAACCGATGTTATGCTCTTGGCTTGATCAGGTTTATCCTGTTTCTGCACTGGGTGGTGTCGAGTATATATCAGCAGTTAAGAAGCCTTTTCATTACATCCCAATGGTTGCTTCTCAAGGAATTAAAATGGGTAACTGTCCAAAATCAAATTTGTTTATCTTATGATTGCTATAATAATTTGTGGTTGTGGTTTTTGGAAACTGCTATTGCCTCTTGATAACAGCTCTAAGATTGTCATACACACAGTAGTATTGTTGGCCTGCAAAGATCAGAAGTTTTTCTGTTATGTAGTATTTTGTAGTTTCTGTATGTTTTTGAAGCTACAACATTAATCAGAAGATGGTAGTGTAAATTTGTTTTTAATAATTAATAAATGTTAATGTTCATATGCTGAAGGTCTAGTAGCAGACTTCATAACTCGAGGAGCATCCGCAGTAGTGCTGTCAGATGCGATTTTTCAAAAAGAAGCAATTGCTCGAGGAGACTTCGATATTATATCTGAACGAGCACAGTTGGCAGTTTCAATTGGCACTGAAGCTAAAAAACAGCTTAAACTAGTATGAGATAAGCTCTTTATATTTATTTTCCTGCTTATTGGTACAAAATACCTGTCCACAATTCCAAAAATGCCTGTCAAAAATGAATTTTTGGGACATTCTGAAAAATGCTATTACAGTGTATTCCTTCATTTTATCAAATATTTTTGCTGATAGGAACCATAGTGTTTTTATATTTTCTTTTGCGCGAACTCGATTAACCATAACAGAAATATAGCATTAACCCTTTTTGGGCTTCTAGTGAAATAATCTTATAAAGATTTGCACATTCTTAAGCTAATTGTAACTAGTGTGTAATACTGATGCAGGTTAATCAGTAACAGTTTTTTCTAATCAAAGCCGGTGGAACTTGTTGATCACCATTCCCTGCACTTGCTTGCACACGTGTATGACAAGGTTTTTGTTGTAAACCATTGCCAAATCGACAAGTAGCTCAGACACCAGCAGATACAGGGCTCATTTCAGAGTTCATTACGCAGTAAGATATAACTGGACTTTGCTAAATCTTTGATTCAGGCTAGATATCTAACAGGTAGTTAGCTGACATCACCCGAAAAGATTGCAATGCGGTTACTTTTTTTCTCTTGTCCTTTAATACGGGTAAAAGGGTAAATTTTCTCCCTGTTAGATCACAAAGATAAAGATGTCTAACTCTTTTGATCATTTATACCCTTTACAAGCCCTCAGGAACTCTATCTCCCACCGTCAGTGGGTGTAATACCACATACTCTGTGGTGATATGTTTCTGAGCAGAATGGCCATCATCAGAACTAGACAAGGCATATTGGAGTGATTTCTTCTATTCTGTTGTTTAATACTTCTTACTCTGTAATTCTGTAGAAAATCTTATGTGACATATGTAGATTGCTGTATTTTTTTCATATGTATGAATGTTACATCAAAGTCTTAAACTATTGGTGTGGTACTGATTAGGAACTTTATCTGTCAATTGCTTGGTTTACATGGTTGCCTGCTTGGACAACTGAAGTTACTGTAATGTATTTGTATTGGGGATATATTTTCGGAAATCTTAGGAAATATTTTGTTAGTATCTTTTGGTAGCTAATAATATCTTTTGTTATCTTTTCTTAGTTTCCTAATCCTATCTCATTAGGGTTACCTTGTATTATATATTCTTTGGAGGTCATTAATGAGAATTAAGCTTTGACGTTTATTGAATTTAGCATGGTATAAGAGCCAAGGTTAATATATTTTTTTCCCTCCATAAACGTCAGTCATGGCTGGCAGTGAAACACCACCACCAAAAATTGAAACCAATTTGCCTTTTTATCAAGGGGCGCATGATAGGCCAGGTGATTTTATAACACCGATTTGTTTAAAGCTAGATAATTTTGATGCTTGGGCTCACGCCATATACGTGGCTCTCTCCTCTTGAAGAAAGTTTGGGTTTTTTGATGGAACCATCACAGATTTCGTGCCGCCCGCAACCAAGGAAGATTGGGTTGTGGTACATTGTATGCTCGTCTCATGGCTTATGAACACGATCGACCCGGAGGTAAAATCTATGCTTTCCAACTATGACAATGCAAAACGTTTGTGGGATGATTTGCAACAACGATTTTGTATAGTGAATGGACCTCGTATTCAACAATTAAAGGCTCAAATTAATCGTTAAGAACAATCTAAAAATATGACTGTTGCCATTTATTTTGGAAAATTAAAGGTCTTGTGGGATGAACTTGCTAAGCTTGAACCTTTAATTAATTGCAAATGTGGAAAGTGCACTTGTAACGTAGGTAGGCAACACGAGAAACGGCGTGAGGATGATAGGCTTCAACAATTTTTACTAGGCCTTTGTTCTGAGTATTATGCTCAAACAAGGTCCAATATTTTAGCACAAGACCCTCTGCCTACGTTGAATAAAGCCTATCAACAAGTCTTTCAAGAGGAGCCTGTACGAGGGTTTGATCGGGTTTGAGAAGAACCTCCACAGGCCGTGGGGTTTGCTGTCCGTACAGGTGCCGCAAGTCGGGGCCGTGAAGGGTCAGGTACAGTGTGTGCCAAATGCAAGAAGGTTGGGCACGAGACATCTAGTTGTTGATCGGATAAGGTGTGTAACCATTGCAAGAAACGGGGACATATTGAGAACAAGTTGTAGTACTCCGTATTTTATAATATTTATATTTTTATAATATTTATATATATAACTTATTTATTTTTATAAATCAAAATGATTCATTTTATTTTAAAAATATTATATAAGTGTGTGTAAAATAATATGAGTCATTAATTGAGACAATAAAAGTGTTTTGAATTAGGTCATCTTTATTTAAATAGTTGGATCAACTTGTTGGAAATTTAAGGACACTTAAGAGCCCAACAAGTTAACCCCAAAGGAAGAAGTTGAGGGGGAGTAGAATTTTGTAATACCCCGTATTTTTACACGTATTTTAATTTAAATCATTATTTTATGAGTATTTAAATAATTTGAAATGAATTATTTATGGTATTTTTTTAATTTAAAAGAATTATTTTAATTAAAGGTCCGTTTTTATTTATTTAATTGTTTTGGAAATATTTTATTTTATTATTTAGAAACTTTAGGGCATATTATTTTATAAAAGGAAATTTAAAGTCAATGGTATTTAAGGAAAGTCAAAGGACTACTTTGAATAAGAGAAGAGATCATTAAGAGTAGAAAGGGAATTTAAGCTTAGGAGGGTTTTAGAAAGAGGGCATAAATACACATCTTATGAGCAAATTAGATCTTGCCCAAGGTGGAGAATACCCAAAGGTAAACTCTCTCTCTCTCTCCTCTTATTTTCTCTCTCCTTTAATTTTCCCCCTCCCCTTTAAAATTTTCATACACCACCACCACACACACCACCACGGTGGCCGGCTGCCACCACCATCACAGCCGGTCGCCGCCGCCAGCACAGGGCCGGCAGTAGCAGCAGCCGTGGGAGGTGGCGCCAGCCACCCTCCCTTCTCCCCCTTGTTGTGCGTGTGTTTTTAAAAAAAAAACAAAAAAAAAAATACTCTTCTTTTGTTTTAAAATTATTCTAGCTTTGATTCAATTATTATTTTTGGGTTTTGTGATGATTTTTATGATGTTTGATTATAATTATTATGTATATAATTTTCAGATTTTTTTTTTTTTTTAATTAAAAAGCCCCAAATTGAAAACCCTAGGTTTCTAAATTAATGTATGTTGATGGAAATTGATTGTAGGTGATTGAAACTATTAAATTAGATGTTTTTAAATATAATTATAGCAATTTTACATGTTTTTATAAAGCTAGAATTTTTAATGAAGGCTATAATTATGTTTCTTGTAGGGATTATTAATTACCCATTAATTAGGAATAAAAGTAAGGGTTTTTAATTAATTTTCAGCTTGTTTTAGAGGGTTTATGAGTGATTTAAAGAGTGTATATATTGCTGGAAATTTATATTGAACCGGTATTAATGTCTCTTTGTAATTTTGGGTTGTAGGAGATTCCAAGTCAGTGACTTGGTGTAGTCGTGGCGATTTTGAGATCATTTTCAAGGTACGTTCGCGTACTTGGTAATTATTTAAGTGTATACAAGCATGCTAGCACTAGTAGAAAAAGTGAAATAGGCACCGCACTTTTCGCACCGGTTCTTGAAAACCGATGGTAAAAGAAATGGGCGTGATTGGGAAAAAGACTTTTCGCACTGGTTCCTATTAAACCGGTGCGAAAAAGATTTTTTAAGAGAGAGAAAAAAAAAGGGAGAAAGGGATTTTGCGAAATCTATTGTAAAATAAAAAAATAAAAAAAAAACCCGGATATACTCTTTCTTTCTCTTTCATTTCCTCGATCTTTCCTCCTCTCTCATCTGATCTGCCTCTCTCTCTCCTCCATTGAAGCGTACTCGAATTTCTCCATTGAAGGGGCTTTTGAGCTTTCTCTCAGCATTTTCCTCAAACTCCTTCTCTCTCCTTCGATCTCCTTCTCCATAACCGCCACTTTCCCTTTCCTTTCTTCTCTCTTTCGATCTCCTTCTCCTTCTCTCTTTCTACAATATTGGAGGTTAGGGTTTCTGGGTGCGTCTATTTTGAATCAATTCGATGTGCGTGCGTCTTCAACAACAACAAATTCGAATCAATTTCGAACCAAAAATCAGAAATTCTAGGTTAGGGTTTCTGGGTTATTTAGCTTTGCGTTATATTTTGGTCTTTTGGTCCAATTATTCATGTTAAATGCTTTGAAATTTTGGGTTTAATTGATGTAACATTGTTTGAAATTTGTTGAAGATGGTTGGAGAAACTGATACCAACAACAATGGAGGTAACAACGGTTTTAATGAAGATAAGAAGCCTGCTCCTGAAATTGAGTTTGAGGCGAAAGAAAAGCGGTGGCGATGAGGGTGATCCCGAGATGCAGGAGATGTGGGATACCATTGCTGGTGGTAATTCTGAGGTGTGGCGATGAGGGTGATCCCGAGATGCAGGAGATGTGGGATACCATTGCTGGTGAGGTCATATTTTTGACTTCGTAGTGTTTATGTTTTTTTATCTTCTTGTGTTCCAGAGTTATTAGCTGTTGATAGTTTGTGGTTTGCTGCTAATTAAAAGTAATTGTCTTTGCTCTATTGAACTGTGCTTGATTCTATATTTTCCATGTACTTGGCTCTTAATTTGTGCTTTAAAATACCAATTGCTAAAGACTTATGAAGTCTAGTCTAGATTGAAATATAGTAGTTGAAGTAAAATGGAACTCGGTTTTACTTTGACAATTTAGAGATGATAGGAAGAGTTATAATTTGCATCTGCGAATGCTAGACTTATGAATTCATAGAAAAACAGCTTACTTTTTGCAGTATGAGAAGATAAAAGGTATATTCTTGGCTGCACTTCAGTAGTTCAGTGTGTTAGCTTAGTGTGGGATCTTGGTTTTTATAAGATTGTTGCCCTCCAAAACTAGTTATGTTTGGGCAATTGTTTATGGGGTTCAAATCATGAGAGTGGTTTTTAGTCCTCATTTGAACTATTCTTCTTGTTTGTGATATTCATGTCTTTTCTACGCAAAATTAGTATTGGTATTTCAATTTACTCTCCAACATACACTGTTGGTCCATTGTACTTCATATTCTATTGCAATAGTAGAAATTTCAATACAGCACTACAAATTTAGCTCTACTTCATTCTCATACTCAAATTTCTCTCTCCTTAATTGGTTGAATTTATTAATCTTTAATTGTTGCCTGCTTATTTAAGTATGATTTTTTCTTCAATTCGGTTTGATTTCTACTAATTAAGTTATTTTTTCTGTGATTCGAGATTAAGGGTTTTTAATTGTGAGGAAAATTTGGGATAATTCAACAAATTTTGAATAATTTTCTGTTAGCTTTGTGTGTCACGATTGAGCATAGAATTGTTACTATAAGAATCACTAATCCTTATTTCAGAGGAATCCAATTACTTGTATTCTACCCACTTGAATAATGCCCACCGCCTGTTCGACGAAATTACCACTTTTGATACTAAGCTCTTTTTTTTATGATCATCGTTTTGGTTCGACCCTTGTTAATAATGTGTGTTGTTGTGATGGTTTAGTTTTTGTTTGTGACGAGAAAAGCAAGATGTTGTTGGTAAACCTGACAACGAGGGAGATTAAGGAGTTGCCGAGTCCGCGGTATGTTCAGATGTTCTTTATCCTTATGCTAGTTTTACTATGTATGGAATTGGGTATGCAAAATTGATCCTCTGACCTTGTAGACCATTTTGGGGGGGGGGGGGGGGGATGCAGATTTACATGATCTATCATTCTCTACTGGATTAGGCTTGACAAATCCCTTCTTGTTCTTTCATTGTTCTTCAATTTTTGTTTTGTTTCCTGTTTTTTTTTTTTCCACTTATTGCCTTTATTAGATCTATGATGTCTAACATTTGAACTTGTATGACTACACTAACTATATTAGCAAGCTTAAGAATAGTTTATCTCAAAATAGCAATGCAAATACTTTAAAAGCATACTTAAGGATATCACATACATAATTGGTACTGGAGAGTGGCTGCAGGACAGCAATTAACTTAATCAACTTATTCCTCATCCTTGTTGTCTGGCATTTATAGTCTTTTGATCAGTTTGCTTAACATTTAATTCTGTGATGATAATTATACCATCTAATTTGCTGCATTTCAATTTGGAGTTGTATGCTGATGTTGGTAGATGCTTTCTCTGACCAAGTGACCAGGAAAGAACCAAATGAATTGATAAAACTTGTCAGATCTCTTACAGTGGAAAGTAATGGAACTTTTGGTAAACTGCTTTGCATAATTTTGATCCTGATAATTGACAGCAATGTCTACGTAATTTCCTGATATAATTGCTTTTTTCTTTTTCCTGATTTATTTCCTCGAGGTGAAACTACTCCAAATAAGCGAAACCCAGCAATTATGGAAGCTAGGAAATGGCAGCAAGAGAAAAGATCAGGCTTAAAGAAAAAGTTTAAGTAGTTAGTACCATTCCAAGTTTGGAGGAGGGGAAGTGCTGTGATATCTGGAGGATTGCTTTATTACATGTTACTCAAACAGAATGTTGTCTTATATAATGTGTATTACTATATCTGCTATCTATATGAGCACACAACTTGTTTTAAGGCTTGTTATTATGATTTTTTTCTGGCTTGTTTTAAGGCAGGATTTCCTTCCTTATATGAGTAGTGTTATGCTTCTTCTTCTTCTTTAGTCTGCTTAGCTTATACCTGATGTGACCATCTCCTCTGCAGACTGATAATGATATTGAAGATTCCGATGATGAAAGGTACCTTTCATGCTTTTTGGCTATAAACCTCAGGCTTTCAAGATTACTGGATTGTTTGTTAGATGCACTTGCTCCAAATGTTTCTTTTTGTATTTTGCCTTAATTTTTATGGTATTTGTGTGTGTGTCAATGTGCATGTATTTGTGTGCGTGTGAGAGAGGGGGGGAGAGAGAAAGAGAGTTGATGCTATATGGGTTTAGTTCCTTGCTCTTGTTGAATGAAGTTTGTTTATTTTACAGTTAAATCTTTATTATTGTAACATGTGACTTTTCCCCCTCTATTTTTATTTACGGTTAAATCTAGGACTCTTTTGGATGAAGGTCAAGTCTGAGCAATTATGGATAAAATCAAGCAGGTCCTCACTGCTAGCTCGAGTAGAAAAAGAGAGGTCAGAGAGGGCTAAAGTAGAGGACTATGATGCTGAAGAGAGTAATTTACTTAAAGAGGAAAATGAGCAGTAAGAAAAAGAGAGAGATCAAAGAGGGCCAAAGCTTAGAAGTGAGTCCCCTTGGTTGAAAACTGTAATCCTTGGTGTGATCACTTAAGTGATCACCCAGCCAGCCTGAACAGAGCAGAAACAAAGCCACAGAAGCAGAACAGATGCCCAGCTAGCTTGAACATGACAGAGGTACAGTAGCGCAGCAGAATAGAAACAGCAGCACATCAAACAGCAGAGCAGCCTGTCAGCCTGAACACACAACAACACAGCAGCCAACACAGCAGCCACCAGCACAAGACCAGGACAGCTCCTGCTGGAACTCAGACTAGGAACAGGAGAGCAACACAGAACAGTAGCCAAACTGAAGAAAAATAACAGTCACTAAAACAGTATGCTGTTCTTGAGCCCTTGCAGCCACTTACAATGTTGTCTTGTCTATTTTTAATGAAAACATGTAACTTTATATATATGTTAGTGTTTATATGTCAATTTAAGTGAAAAAAATGCAAAAAAAAAAAAAAAAAAATATTGGGGCATTTTTGGCACCGGTTTTGGAATAAAACCGGTGCTAAAAGTTTTTTTTTTTAAAAAAATTTTGGCCACCTTTTGCACCGGTTCAAAGCAAGAACCGGTGCTAAAAGTTTTTTTTTTTAATATTTTTGGAGACTTTTCGCACCAGTTCACATCAAGAATCGGTGCGAAAAGTCTTGGGATTTGGCATCCCTCAAATCAGAACCGGTTCAAAACCGGTGCGAAATGGGGGTTTTGAACCGGTGCTGATTAGCAATTTTTGCCTAGTGTAGGCTTTGTTTAATTAATTCCAAGGTAGTATCATGATAGGTGTTGGTTGGAATTGTTGATTGGATTGATGTTGGTGATTGAATTGTGAAGTATGAATTATTTGTGGTGAATTGATGATTGAAATTAATTATGGTTGCATGTTGAGTATGAACTACACTTTTATTATTGTCATGATTGAGAGCATGTTTAGTTATTAAACTAAATGTTAAATTTGGTTTGGAATATAGAAAGGGAATTTTATTGTGGTTCATATAATTTTTATTGATTCTTTAAGTATGGGAATTGAGCTATTAAGTACCTTAGTACATAGGAATAAAATATTGTGCGGTGCCTACGTGCACTTAAGGTGTTCTAAACAGCGAAGGATAAGATTTGCGGTGCCTTATGCACTTAAGGTGTTATTTAATACCGAGGAAGTTTGAAAAATATTCAACATTAAATTATGTGGCCACTAATTATTCAAGAATTAAATTGGTATGTTTGATTGCTTGAATGATTTATTATGATTGATTCTGTTATGGTTTAAGAGTCATCACCAAGTCTAAAAATAAGTAAACAACGTAAAGTGAAAGAGATTACGCACCAAAACTTTTGAAACGTATATACCTTGAGTATGGACATATGGGGGGTGATGGGATTTTATATTTAATCATGACTTCTACTAGGAGTACATGACACTGTATTTTCCTTTTTATTGTATATTATGCGCAGGACATCCAGTCACTTCATGTGACATTTGCCTACCCGGTTAGCTCCTGGCGTAGTTTACCTCAATTTATTTGGGGCAGGGATTTTGTGGGGAACTCGTTCGATGCGTAATCAAATTAAATAAGCAATTTAGTGGTCTATTTATTTGTTGGTTGTGTTGCGTGCTTGAAAACAGGTGCAACAAGGTAAGTTGTGTGTTGATAGGATTAAGCATGTTAGTGTGTACGGTTTACGCTTATGTACTCAGCATTGCTGATTGTGTGTTGTATGTTTGTTTGACCTTGTCTTTATCTTGGCCCTACGACAACCCATTTCTAATGGCGAGTAATGGGGACAAAGTAAAGAGGAGCTTTTCAGGTATAGAAGCATATTCATGATGGACATGAGTGAAAAGCGAATCATATTTAGTTTTCATAAGAATATGATGTGGTTTTGTTGCTTTAATTATTATATATTTTGCATGTGAGACTAATGTAAAGGTTTTCAAATGTTTTATCTCGGTTTTATTAAGGGCCTACAAGGGTTCCAAGTTGTAGGTTGACTTTGTTTGACTTTGGTTGACTTTACTTTCATTTGGTTTGACTTTTTAAGTTGACTTGTTTTGAATGGTTTTAAACAGAGTCTTCCGCTCTGTGTCTTTGATATTTTCCTTAGCCGTTTTCATGGTGACGGCAATGTCTAATAACTTCCTATTTCGTATTTTAAAAGGGCAAAACAGGTATTTTAAAGGAAAGGAATTTCTAGGGTGTTACAAAGTGGTATCTGGGAGCTTAGATTGAGATTTTATTACCACTAAAGCCAAAAACGTGTTTTAAAGTATTTTATTTTAAACTTGGCCAAGTGTTTATTTAATAAAGTAATTTTAAAACGAGTTATTTTATTTATTTTAATTTTAAGAGGACCAATATTATTTTTTATTTTTATATTTTTTTTATGAGGTTCGAAATTTTTTTTATTTTGGGAAGAAATCCAATTTTTTTTTTTTTAATTAAGGACATCCGATTTTTTTTTTAAAAAAATAGGGTGTCCGAATTTTTTTTATAATAATGGCCGAATAATTTTAGGCCTTTTTGGAAATTATTTTCGAAATTTAATCTAAAGGAGGAGTTAAAAATATTTTTAGTTTGTTCATTTTGCAGGAAAGCGAAGGATTAAGGTAAGAATTATGTGTTAAAAGCATGTTGGTGAGCTTGGGTAGGAAAGAATTTGGGCATATAAGTTAGAAATAATCATGTTCTTGTATGCATTAATATTTAGGTTGTGATGTTTAATCATGTGAATTCATTGATTGGAAGCATGTAATTATGTGATTAGAAATAAGTGAGATTGTTTGATTGAACATTGAACCTAATTCATGCAAGAACTGTATTATTTTATTTTCTTTGGGAAGGGAATTATTTTCTAAGTCTTTTCCTTTACAGGATGCCAATCTTTCCTAGCAAAAAACTCCCAAATTGGTACTCTAATTAAGAAAGAATATGAACATCCTTTTGGCTATGTCAAGAAAATTCGTTTCTATTGTTCCCATTTGAGCAATGTTCTAGGAGACAAGCATTATGACCTTCCTGATGGAGTTTCAGCTATGATTATTCATTGTCTTCCAGATGAACCCCCATATCTTGCTGTCAAAGCAAGTTCTCTGATTTTTACTTACTTGGGGACATCCCAAACTATTCCAAATATAAAAAATTTTATGAACAGTGGTACCCTGACTACAAATACTTGATTTCTTACCTCGTTAGAGTTCAGAAGTATCATTACGAGCGTTTACACATTCCATATCCCAATTACTACTATGATAATCCAGTAGGGAATAATTCCCCTTTCACTAGCAATCAATCAGGATATTCTTCTCCACCACAGGGTAATCAAGCAGGAACACATGGAGGGCAAAAGGAAGGAGAGCTAATGGATGAAAGTAACCATACTGTTGATAGATCCATTATGGAAATTCCAAATCCAAATCCACCCCCAACTCCAATTATGACTGATATTTCATCTGACGATGAGGAAGATGAAGATTTCATTCAAGTAAAACAAAATCTAGAGACACCTGAACCAATGGAGGAGGAAGATGACCCTGAATTTGATCCTGGAAGCTACAAGCAATCGAAGGATAAGAAGGACAACGTTCGAAAGGACTCGATTTTTGTAGTTTCATCGCTCTATTAGGATTCTTAGTTTCATTTTCGCAGTTTTAAGTAATTCCTTTGTCAGTAAAGTAATAAGTGGCATGTCCACAAGAGTCAATAAACCTATTGAGTTGCGTAGGTTATTCAAACTCATTTCATTCAGTTTTCCATTCATTTTCTTATTCAGCAATAAAATTCTATTTATTTTCTTATCAAATAATTCACTTTATTGCCAATTAATTTATTTCGTTATCAAAATCATTCATTTCGTATCACTACTCCAATAAGCCGTTTCGTACTCAAATATGTTCCGATAATTCATTTCTAAACTCTGGGAATTCTTTTTTTTTATTATTGTGATGCTTTATTAAATGTATGGTTGGTTAGCAACAATATTTGGTTGATCAAGCTGCAAATTTTGGGAATTGTAATTTTGCAATCTCAGTTTGTTAGCTTAAAATTAATTGGGTAAGTATAAAAGGGTATAAGTTGGTTAGATGGGTGTCTAACTTGAGAGTTGACCATAACCATAATTAATAAAGACCCCTTATTTTAATTCAGGCGAAGAAAGATGGCAGGAGGAAGTGGTAACAACAATAATGGAGGAGAGCTAGTGAGGTTGGTAGACAGTTGGCAGTGGTCGCCCAACAGTTAGCAAGAAACTCGACCAACAATGGAGATGCTCAGGGAGAGCTATTCAAGAAGCTGGAACAAAGCAAGCCACCAACCTATTAAGGAGAGCCTGATCCAACAGTGTTGGAAAACTCATTAAGGGAATTTGAGAAACTGTTTGGGGTAGTTGGCTGCCTAGAAAATTCGAAAGTAGGTTGTGCTACCTATTACCTCAGGGGTGGAGCTGACATTTGGTGGCAGCAAAATGAGGCTACAATTAAGGCGCTACCTGGGTTTAACTAAGCTATGTTTCAGGAGAAAGTTAGAGACAAGTTTTATCCTGACTTCGTACGGAAACAAAAGGCTAAGGAATTTGCTAACTTAGCAATGGGAGAAATGTCAGTGACGTACTACACCAAGTTTATTGAGCTATCACGATTTGCCAAAGAGTCTAGTGCGGCCAAAAAGTCAAAGGCTAGGAAGTTTGAGAGTGGATTGACTATTGATTTGCAACTAAAGTTGTGTGGACAAGTGTTGGAAACCTTGGATGAAGTGTATGGGAGAGCTGCACAGCTTTATGCGTTGGAGTTGAAGAAAAAGAAAGAGTTAGCTGAGATAGAAAGGAAGGAAAAGAGAAAGGAGGTGGGGCAAAACTCTGGAAACCCACAAGGTCGTAACCAGAACAATTTTAAGAAGAAGAAGTACCACCATAACCACAACAACAACTTCCACAACAACAACAATTTCCAGGGTAACAATCCCCAAGGTGGGCGCAACTTTAATGGTAGATCCAGGAACTCTAACCAAGGAAATAACAAAGGACCAAGGCATTTCTACTGCAAGAGGTGTAGGAACGACCACCCTAATAAGGACTGTGAGGGAAATCTAGTTACTTGTCGCACATGCAACAAATTGGGACACAGGGAGTATGAGTGCTTCTCCAAAAATTCTAATCGAAACAAGTAGGGAAATAATCAAGGAGGGGGCTCAAAGGACTTTTAGGGAAACAACAACAATTCAGGGAACAAGGGGGCACAGCAGAATGGAGTGAAAAACAACAATAATAGAATTAAATAAATGCTGGAATTTATTTATGCACACTACTTTTTAATTATTGAGTTAGGGTTTGATTATCCATAAAAGGGAAAAAGGTTTTAATGATTTAAATATAATATCCTAGTCTATTAGTGATGTTTTATATTAAATAAGTATGCTGGAATTTTATTTAAGACATAAAAACTAATTCTTTTTTTAAAGGATTTGAAGTACCCA